TATGTATGTATGTATGTATGTATGTATGTATGTATGTATGTATGTATGTATGTATGTATGTATGTATGTATGTATATATATATTATCCTTGGTGTTGGTGCAAAAGAGTAAAATGTGCAAGGTTTTTACCACAAATCCATGCAAGCAGTAAATAAAAGCCCACTCACTGAAGGAGCTTCCCTCCTCCTTTGTGCTGCCCACAGTGCCATCGGGCTGCATCTGCAGGTAGTATCCATGTTGGCTGTAGAGCCGGGAAACGATGCCTTTCAGCTGTGGCTCTGTAGACAAATACAGGGAAGGAAAACCACATTAGACAGCTGCTGGTACTTGATGTTATGAACAGAAACAACATCTAATTGTTTATAGAAACTGGGTGGAGTTCTACTAACAAATGACTCCATCATCAGCATAAAAACATTTTAATTGGGTTAACTCTCTGGTATAACCTTTTTATTTGCAAAATAAGAAGGTTGATATATGAGTTTAAACGTGGAATATATTAGTATAAAAGAGGCTGTTTCTGTTATACAGAGTAGGGTGCTTTAGACACAAATGTGCTTACTCATGCGAAACACAGGACAAACTGAAACTGATTGAAAGATTAGCTTGGCCTCTGCAAAGAATGACGCACAATTTCAAAAAAGCATTTTCACACTCAGTTTGCACCTGGAGCTCCCCAGTGTTCAGTTATAAAAGAAGAAGACTTTCATTAAAAAGATCATCAAGCCTGTTTGGATTGTATTCATGCACAGAAACACAATAAATTTGACAACCTGCAAACTCTTCTAAAACAGACAGTACATCCATCCATCCATTATTTTTACCCGCTTCCTTTTCGGGTCACGGGGTCACCGGTGCCCATATCCAATAGTCACTGTGTGAGAGGCGGGGACACCCTGGACAGGTCTCCAGTCCATTACAGGGAAACACAGAGACAAACAAGACAAACAATCATTCACTCTCTCACTCACACCTAGAGACAATTTAGAGTTACCAATCAGCCTAACATGGATGTGTTTGGTCTGTGGGAGGAAACCAGAGTACCCGGAAAAAACCCACGCATGCACGAAGAGGACATGCAAACTCCATCCCGAAAGGCCCCCAGACCGGGTTTTGATCCTACAACCTGCTTGCTGAAAGGCGGCAGCTCTACCAGCTGATCCACCATACCACCCAGACAGTACACCAAATATTAAATAGTGTTCCACTCTTTTTCAACTCGTGTTGAGAAATGACAATGTTCTAATGCATTCCTCAAACCTTGAAATTTTATGAAATTGTGTATAATTTGTTAGTGCTTGGAGTAATTTATCCTTTTTTTTTTTATTTGACAAAGTAATACAAATCATTTTCCTGCCTGAGGTAGATCAGTTGTAGTGGCCATCTTGATTTGGGTTGACTTCAAATGTTTGTCAGTTGTAAATGCACGTCCAAGGATAAACTTTCAAACACTTTCATTAAAATCCATGTAGTTGTTCTTAACATATTTTGCTAACAGACAAACAGCATTGACTGCAATAAATAACACTAGAGTTTTATTCAAAGTACAACGTGTAGCTTTTTGAGAATATTTTGCTAACATGACAGATACAGAGACATGGGCCAAACTTGTCTGCAGCAGGTGATGGAGTTCAAACAGCTGGGGTTCTGGAAGAGAGGATGGAAATCTCTGCAACTTTGGAGTCATTTAGGAGAACAAGGACAAACCTGATAGGTGATGAGAACCATGCACATTTTTCAACTTGTCTTAAAGTATATTTACAGTATTTGTCAAGGTGTAACAGGTTATATTATACCCCCAGTCGAGACAGTGGTGGACTGTCAGGGCATCAAAGCCTTCTCTGCTGGTCTAAACACGATCGGTATCACTAACTTACATTTTAGTTTACATTTTCTATTTATTAATATTATTCTGAAATGGGGGAGTGGTGGGCAGCACGGTGGCGCAACTGGTAGAGCTGCTGCCTCTCAGCGAGCAGGTCCTTGGTTCAAACCCGGGTCCAGGGGCCTTCTGGGTGGAGTTTGCATGTTCTCTCCGTGCATGCGTGGGTTTTCTTCGGGTACTCCGGTTTCCTCCCACAGACCAAAAACATGCATGTTAGGCTGATTGGTAACTCTAAATTGTCCCTAGGTGTGAATGAGAAAGTGAATGGTTGTTTGTCTCGTTTGTTTCTATGTGGCCCTGTGATGGACTTGCGACCTGTCCAGGGTGTACCCCGCCCCTCGCACAGTGATTGCTGGACATGGGCACCAGCGACCCCCGTGACCCAAAATGGAATAAGCGGGTAAAGATAATGGATGGATGGATGGATGGATGGGGGAGTGGTGGTGCAGAGGTTAGAGAAGGTGGGCCTGTGATCAGAAGATCGACGGTTGAAGCCCCGGTACCGACAACATCAAATATGTGGTGCGGTAGGTGAAGCACCCACACCTGCCCCCACCCTCATTTGTCCCACCCTGGGCCCTTGAGCAAGGCCCTTAAGCCCCACCATCTGCTCCTCCGGGTGTCCTAGATAGCAGCTCTCTGTTCCACACAGAGGGCTGTGGTAACTCGGTGGTCTATGGTTGTGTCAGGAAGGGCATCCGGCATTAAAAATAACTGCCAAGTCTTCGTGCGACTTAGTTCGCTGTGGCGACCCCTGAAGAAGGGAGCAGCCGAAAGAAAAAAAAAAAATCTGAAATGTCTGTTCTTTTCATTTCATGGCTTTTCACCCGGCTGAGCAGCTTCCAGTAGCACATTTTAATAGCGCTTTTATTATTATTATTATTCAATTGTATTTCGACCAACATGTATGCTAGAGTCAAAGAAATCTGTCTCGAGGCTTTCAGAATCAACAGTGCAGGCACATGTAGCTTAAAACAAAATCAGTTAAACTGTTGCTTTGACCAATCAGATGTTGAGCTGGCGTCACAGAGGCCTTCTAGCAGGCATTAGACAATTCCATGACATTTCCATGTCATTTGATTGGATGGTCAGAGAGCAGACTGGTCGGTGCTAGGGCACTACATCTGTAGCATCCTTCACAAGCTACTGTAAATGCTGAGCGCACATTCTGAGCCCTAAAGTGAATTAAAACTTATTCCAGAAAGATGATACAGCAGACTTTTATTTTTACCTTTAGCTTCCATGGTGACAGAAAAGGACTAATTGTTGAAACAAAAAAGCCATGATGACTTGTAGGACAGAGGAACTGAACTCTTGATGAAACAAGGATGATGCAGTTTGTATACAGGTAATCAAAACTTTTGGTGATTTAAATGCATTTTAATCATTTTTTTTATGTTTTGGTCAATTTATTATGCCCATATTGATGCTTTAGGTGAATATTTATGTTGTACAGCTGTTGCTGCAGTTGAAGCAGACTTGTTCACTTGTGTTAATTGGGTTTCTTGCTTTGGTAATGACATTCATTCTTGCTACATGAGATACCTGTATGTATGGTATGGTATGGTATGGTATGGTATGGTATAAAGTTTATTCATTTAAAAAAAGTACAAAACAATTCCATAACAATATAAAAAAAGATACAAAAGATTTAAAATGAAAGGCAGCAGAAAGAAGAAAAAATCTTATTATATCTGCCCCTTTTTTCAAACAATTATTTCAATCATAATAATCTTCAAGTATGTGATGCAGTGTCCTAAAAGTCTGTGTTTCTGTGTATTATTGATAATTTCTGTAGCCATGGCATTATAATGACAGTATTAAGGGGTGGATACATTCAGGTAGGACAACATTGAAGGCCCAGGTGTGCAATGTATGGCCTGCCACTTAGTCCGAACTATACCTGTGGTTAAAGGGATCTAGGCTAGATTATGCTCCCAGTATATGACCTAGGCCAATTTGTACTCTGGGTATAAATTGGCCTAGGCCTATTGATACCTCACAGGCCAGATTATACTGTCATGATATATGTAGAGTTGAGTCATATATACAAGAACATCAATGGGGATTAAGTTCTCTCAGGTTAAAGTGAGAAAGCTAACAGGCTTAAATCTTAAAACTCTAAGCATTTGGTATGGCCAGATTATGGGTATATAAGGTGTATATAGATAGGTATAATCTGGTCTGGAGAGGTATAGTCTTGCCTAGGCTATTTATTTATTTATTATAAGGAATGCTCTGACCTGGGCTAAACTATTCCTGGGTTTAATCTGGGCAGGGGTTAATTTGGGCAGCTACACTTACAAATAAAATCACTAGCCATTTTAATACAGCAAAATGAAACATGGAAAAATAAGTTTTAGATGGAGTCTTTCAGAAGTTGGGAGTTCCACCCTAAATAAAACTTCTTCACACTCCCAGGAGAACTACCTGGGGAACTATGCAATCTGCCTGTCTCTCTTGGACTAGCACAGGGAGCTGGAGTGAGGCAGGGGAGGAAATGATGAGATCTGTAGCACTTTTTCTCAGAGGAACTGTGCCAGGGTTGAAATATCAGTTAAACTGTGACCTACTCTCATTGTTACATGAGAGCATCTGCAGCTCTCCACATCTCTGCTCCTTCAGAGGTGCTTGTCAAAAGATTTCATCATGTCTCTGCTCTGTCATTCTCTTGTTCTTTCCATGCTTTTTAAATTCCTACCCTTTCAGTCATGTTTTTATCATCACACCTAATATTACAATCTATCATTCCATTAAAGCACAGAGAAGCTTTTCATTACTTGTCCCTGCAGATGCAATAAAGATCGATGAAGGAGTGAGGCAGAAAGAGAAATGGGAGGATCAGAGTGGAGAGAAGCTGGGGAATATGGTGAATAAGATGACAATGTCAGTTTTTTTTTAGGAGTGATGACTGGCTTTGCTTGAGCAAGTGTGCATTTATTTCTGGTAGAAATTCACATGGTTGGTACAGTATGGCTACAGTCAAAAGTCTAATACCTTATTCAGGAGGATTAAAACGAAGGTTTCACTTGACAGAACTGGTCTTATTTACAACCACAATTCTAAAAGTTTGGGAGGTTATCATCTTCTTTCAGCTGTTCCATCTTCAGGGGTTACCACAGCGAGTCAGCCTCCATCTCACTCTGTCCTCACACCAAACACCTCCATGTCCTCTCTAACTGCATCATATATCTCCTCTTTATCTTTTTCCTAACAGCTGCATTTCTAACATCCTTCTACCAATATACCCACTGTCTTGTAGACTTTTCCTTTGACCTTTGCTGCCATGCTTTTATCAAAAATCACTTGTGAAACTTTTCTCCATCCACTGCATCCTGGGGTAGGTGTGCTTGCTCCTTCTGAAATCTGCAATCATCTAATGATCTCCTTCAT